ACCCTAAGACACTAAGACTCAAGTTTCTTGCACATTTGCTTGTGTAGGACACACCATATCTAAACCACAGCAAATATCATAGTTTTTCCAATGAGAAAATGGAACTTACTGCTGAGCCACACTTTTTTCTTTACCCATCAACTCCCCTGGAAGGCCTTCCCCACGACTGACCTGACTGGAGACAGGTGGAGACTGAAGATAAAGGGGACTACCCAAAGGATCTATTGGATGGATCTTAGCTCTCTGTTTTCAGACTCCTATCCCACCCAGCACAAGCTTAGAACACAAGTCAAGGACACAACCTGGAGGTTCCTCTGAGGGGGGGTGAGGAATTGCCATGGAAATGGGGATTCTTCCCCTTCCCCTTGTAGGCACTGGATTGGCCTTTTCATGGGTGAGTCTGTCTGGGAAAGTCTGCAGAGGGGCCAAGTGTATGGCTAAACTAGGAGCCTTCATGTCCCAGGCATCTTGTTCTTGCCCTTTCTCTTGAGCAATAAATTACTCTTGGCATTGAAAAACATGCCTTGGTGACTTGTTCCTGATCGCCATGGGAGGAGCAGAGTCTGGATGTCTGAGTGCAGAAGTCACTGTTACAAGCTAGGTCTGACCCACTCGACCCAAAGTTCCTCAGTGAGAAAAGTGTCAGTGACTGTGGCTCTAAGAGCCACCAGGGAAAGACCTGATGTCTTAGAGTGGGTCCCACTATGCACCACCAAGTCTCCCCGACCAGCTGCTGGGGTTACTACCACCCATATGTGTGACAGTGACTGGTCATTGTGTCCCTGGATGGCTATCCCTCTACACACAAAGAAACTGCAGCGTGCAAGGTTCCAGGGAGGCAGCTGATGCTGAGGTCAAATGCTCCATCTTGCTTTCCTCAAGGGAGACAATTTGGCTTTGGAGCTGCATGAAGCAGTGGACTCGTTGAGTCAGATGCTCTCTCCCCAGCCCTGCCTTCCTTGCTTCCTTTCACGTGTATCTGCCGAGTACCTTCAAAGTTGTTGCATGCAGTGCCCCCTTACAGGATCTGTTTCTAGGACGCCCAAACTGAGTGACTCTCTCTTTGTGGATACTGTTCTCTCCAAGGTTAGATTCACCATGCATGATATTAATATCATTTTGGAAAAGTGATTTGCTTTGTTGTTAATAGGAAAATAGGCCTGTTAAGTGTCAAGTCTCTAACATATTTGCTCCTCTGGTAGCCATGGGCTTCTAAGGGAGGCCTGGAGAGAAGGGACAAAACTCTGTGGCTCTAGAAACTTACACAGGCCGTAAACTGAAAAGCAGATTGACAAGGTGTTCCAAGTAGCATGAACATGTGGCATGCCAGTGGGAGCTGCTGGGGGTGGGGGATGTAGGGGGGGGGGGGAAATGCCAGGGAGATTAGCAAGGATATTAAAGAAAGCTGGAAATAGGACAAAAGAGAGGCAGAGATGGGAGACTTAAGAGATGGGAGAATTTTGTTTAATTTCCTGGATTAGTTATTTTAAATCGTTTATTTTTCTAAAAACCACATCTGTTAATTTGCTGCAAGAGCCTTTGTAAATGGAGGGCTAATGGCCTTCCAATGAGAAGATGGCTATAGATCTGTGCAAAGGGTTCAACCTCCTGATGCAAGCCTACAGTAAGAAGCCCCACCTGTGTGTACAATGTACTTAAAGGATTAGGGCATACTTTGAAATTATGATATCTTTTACCTAAAGTAGGCATCTTCCTCTTTAAGCTTTTATTTCCTTGAAGGAGGGGAAGACTTTGTGGGATTTAATGAAGGTTTAAGTACAGAGGGCTAAAGTGTGTGCTATTTACTTATTTTAACACAATTACAGAATGTAGTCTCAATACTTGTGATTCCATTTCAGGGGTATCACTTGTAAAGGGTTAACGGGGCTCTGGACACAGGTGACAATTTACAGAGATGGAGAAGGCCAAACAAGTTGTAGTGTGAGGGCATAATAAGGTAAGAAAGGGAACTTTTTAAAGAATTCCTATGGTCTCCCTTTAAATATCTGAAAGTCTGTATTTACACATACGGTGTTCTAGGACTGAACAGGTGATTATTTTTATTTTTGAGATAGGGTCCCATGAAGCCAAAGTTGGTCTTGAACTTACTACGTAGCCAAGGAAGACTGAATTTCTGAGCCTCCTGCCTCCACCTTCTGAGTGCTGGGATTATAAGTGTGTGCCACCAGACCTGGCTGTGGGTGATAACTAGAAGAAAGAAATGTCTTTTCCTTTGCCTTGATTTACTAGGAAGACAGGAGAGTGCACTGCTGAGAGAATGACCTTCGTTGGCTGCGGGATACAGGGCTGGACGCTCATCTGCTTGTCAGGCCAGCTGTGGGCACAAGAACATGGTGACCAAATATATGCTGGCTAGTCTGTTAAGAGTCTGAAAACCATACACGAATGTCTAATAAAGACATAGACTTTATTTTAAAAATTTATATATTGCAAAAAATACATAGAAAAATAAAGTTCAATTGGGGTTTTACCAAACTTCAAGTTACAGACTTTTATGTTGCAGATCAGCATGGGCTTTAGCCGATTTATGATACAGGATGGAAACAGGCTGTCCAGGTGACATGGTCCATAGCACCACCCCACACACCAGAGACAAACAGACTAGAGCTTCAGATATTTACCACCTGTTCCAGTTGGGGAGGAGGAGACAAGATGGACTCAGACGCCAAAATAATTTAAAATACAAACCTTTGACTTTTTTTGCAGCACAATTCTGCATTAGAGTAGTTTAATCCTAGAGAAGTGTGGGATGAATGAATTCAATTCAGAGGGAGGGGAGAGAAAGGACTGAGTGGGAGCCAGCACTAAACTAACCCACTGAGTGGGTTTTAGAAAATGAATAAAAGGGAGAAAGGGAAATGGACCCAGCTGTGTTTTGTGTGGTCAGCACCACGTGGCACTGAACTGATACTTCAACATGAAGCCTGAGCTGAAGAAAAATGGGGTGAAAGCAGCCAACTTTCTATCAGCTCTTTTTGGCAGTTTTGCCACCAACAGTAAATTGGCCCTTTTAATAGGAGGAAATTCAAAGATTTCTCATGGCACAGAATTGAGTGGTGGGATCAAGGGATTTCCTGGTCTCTGTATTGGTTGTGGGCTCCCCTCCCTCTCTCCCCTCTGGTTGGTCACCTGAGACAGCAGGATAGAAATGGAAAGACAGACAAGTTTCTCTTTTTCCAATCTTTGTGAGGTGACCCATTTTAGGAGCCCTCTGTAAGCCACTGAACTCGGATTCCCCAAATATTTAGAGGTTTTATCTGCTGATGAAAGCTTCAACAAAGTTGCATTTTTGGAGATGTTTACCCTCTTCTTAGCGTCTTCCTGCAAAGCCTTCTCAGACCCTTTTGCTTGCTTGCTGGTTGGCCTGGGCTGACTTCCATGCCTTGCCCAGGACTGCCAGCTCTCCTGGACCCCCCTGGGGCACCACCCCTCCATTTTGTACTTAGTCCTTCCTTCTCTGTGAAAACCAGGCACCTCTTACCTCCCCTGCCTGCAGGGATTCCTAAGGGCTATCAGACTTTGAATTGTAACAGGCAGCCAGGAGAAACTCCTATAAAAGAAGCAGTTGTGACCTCCAGCTGTCAGCTCTTTAAATATGGTTTGGGATTTAATGCTGTGTATTTTTTAATGAAAAGAAACAAGAGTTACTAGTTTAAAAAACAAAAGCAAAAAAGGATGTTTTTGGCCAATTCAGAATGTTTTTAGTTTTTAACCAGGAAGCATCCAGATCTTATGCTAAATAAGATAACTTAAAAGCCTGAACTGAGAGGAGACCCAGTAGGAAAGAACAAAAAAAATAAAAGGAGGGAAGAAAGATCCTTAAAAAAAAAGGTACCTTTGTCACAACGAAGCAACCAAGGTACAAATTTAAACCAGAAAACTCCAGGATCTGCTGATTCTAAATTTTCCAGTGAAGGAAGGCAGGGTTGGCAGAGGCCTTTCCCCTACTTTGTTAAAGTAAAGGGGAAGAGAAGAGCTCACCCGGAACATGAAGGACCCCCACCCCGCAAGGCCCCTGTCTTGGCTACACAGACATTGCTTTGGCCCTGGCCCACCCCTTGAAGGCAAACTGTTTACACAGCTTGTCTTAAAACCCCACAGCCAACGCATCCTGCTCCACTCAGGCAGCCCTGTAAATCCTTAAATTGGCATACTATTGCAAAAGGAGTCGAAGAAGACTGTTTCCACCCCCCACCCCTCCCGATCCCATGCCAACCTGCCTGGATCACAAGGGCTTTGTTTTTTAAAAAAAGATCCTCCATCTGCCCTCACTTTCACAAGGGCAGAGAGAAGCCCTGCCATAGTTGAAGGCCAGCAGGGGACTTTTAACCCCAGGTAATTCAGGAGAAGGCATCTTCATCTTGGTGTCTTTTCTCCCTTTGGTTTGGCCCTTTCAGAGTGTATGCTCAGATGCTGGAGAGGTTGGAGTTTCAGCAACAGAATGTACAAGAATGAAGTAGCCATTGCCTCCAAAGTCATGCTAAATGCTGGAAACAGCACTTGAATTTCTCTCTCTCTCTCTCTCTCTCTCTCTCTCTCTCTCTCTCTCTCTCTGTCCCTCCCTCCCTCCCTCTCTCTCTTCCTTTCTTCTTTAGAGGTTGGAGTTTCAGCAACAGAATGTACAAGAATGAAGTAGCCATTGCCTCCAAAGTCATGCTAAATGCTGGAAACAGCACTTGAATTTCTCTCTCTCTCTCTCTCTCTCTCTCTCTCTCTCTCTCTCTCTCTCTCCTCCAAATAGGGAGCAGCAGTGACCTACAGTATGCACCTGGAACTATTTAGATACTAAAATAGCCACTGCCCCAGATCTTTCACTGGCCCAGCAGTGAAGAATTGGGGCATTCCCTGTGAACCCCCGACAGTTTGGGTCTGCACACTTCTTGCTCCCCAGTACCCCTTGACCTCAGCTGTTCTGGCTTTTTCCAGAGACACCTAGAGAAGGCAGTTTCTGATCTATGTGCTTGTCATCTGAGCTGGTGTTACCAGGAAGCGGGATTCCAGCTGCCCAGACAGTAAAGGTAGGGATAGTAAGGGTAGCTGGTGTACATGGAGACCAGGGAAGCGCCGGAAAAGCTGTCCTCTTTCAGAACCGGCAAAGACAAGGGGGAGTTCTTCTCCAAGACTCCCAGGTCGGCAGACAGCTGCTTCCGCTTTGTCTTATACCGTCTATTCTGGAACCATATTTTCACTTGGGTCTCCGTGAGTTTGAGGTTCTTCGCCAGGTGCGCCCTTTCCGGAGCCGACAGGTACTTCTGATGGCTGAACTTCCTCTCCAGCTCTATCACTTGAGTGTGTGAGAAAGCAGCCCGGGAGCGCTTCTGCGGCTGCTTGGGGGTTTGGGGCACGCTTGCTAAGTCGCCTGAAGCGTGTTCACAGTCCAACAGATAAGTCTCAAAATGTCCATCTGGAAAAGAGGGGAGGAGGAGGAGAAAAAGAAGTTACTTGCTAGCCGAGAATTCACTCCACCCCTACGTTTTCGGCTGGTGAACAAACAGTCCACTGTTAGGTTGGATACATCTCACTTTTTTCACATGGCTAAGGAACTCTCGCGAAGGAGTGAGTAGATTTGTACAACATGTATCAGTTTTCTAATAATCAGTATAAACTCGAACTTGCAGCCTTCAGTGGTTGAACTTTCTGCCACACTGTCTTACGTCAATAAAACGGGGGCGTCCCGGGCGCATTTGGGTGGGAAACTGAAGCTTGTGGGATGGACCAGTCGGCCTGGATTGGTGGCCAGTTCATCCTCCAACTTTGGTCCTCTTTCTCTAACCTAGGCTTAGTTACCTCATGAGAAAGCGATGGGGGAAAAGCTAGTAGGTGCTATTTCTGAACACCCAAATGTAATTTTACTCTCGAGATAGAAACGCAGAAGGAGGCAGCGGGAGGAACCCTGATTTGTGACTATTAATGGATTATCATTAGTTCTTATGGAGGGTGGTTACTGACTGGTGCCTAGGGTGCATCGGGAGAGTCCAGCCGGTGGCACAGTCGCCGCCCTGCTTTGGGGCTCTGGGGTGGTCCTCGCGGCGCGCTCGTGGCAGGGGAGGGTGAAGTCCCTTCTATCGCCAAGGGCCCAGCCATCCCTGCACCCCAAGCTCCGGAAAGTGCGCCTGAGACGGTCCTTTCCCGCGCCGCGCTCTCGGCCTTGGGGCCTGGCCGGCTTACCTGGCTCAGCCTCCAGCGTCTGCACCGACCCGGGCGCGGCGCAGGGCTGGACGCCCGGCGGGTCCCCGGGATCCCCTCCGCGTCCTCCTCCTCCCTCTGGCTCCGGCGCCGGGCCCCGTCTCGCATCCGGCTGGCGCTCCGACTGCGGGTTGCCCACTTGTGCCCCGCGCGGCTCCGCGCGGTCCCGCAGGATGTCCTGGATGAGGAAGGAGGTGAGCGGCTTGGACTGCGACGGCGGCTCCGCCCGCGCCTCCCGGGGCTCGACGGCCTTCAGCATCCCCGCGGCACCGTTGCGCATGGCTCCGGGGTCTCGGCGCCCTCGCGTACTTATAGCCGCGGGCTGCGCGCCGCGCCGCCTTCCCATTGGCCGCGGGGATCCGGGCGCGCCACTGATTGGCCACCGCGCTCCAGGTGACCGCGGAAAGGCTAGTCCTTCGCCCGGTCCCGCCGTGCTGGGGTGCGGCAGAGTCCTTTCCCTGTGCTCCTCGCCTTCCCGGCTTCCTCTACCACGTACCGGTCGGGCGGGTTTCACAGATTGGACACAAAACTTAAAACCTCGGCCCCGATTCACTGGATAGAAACGGGGATGCTTTACTGGAGGGGTGATGCGAAAGAAAGGCGCCGGGTGTAGCTCCCTGACTGCCGGAGAGCCTTTGCTGAGCTGAGCAGAGGCCAGTCGCTGCCGTGCACCTGGACTGTATAGAAAAGAGGCTGGGAGACCGGAGTAAGTTTAAGGCCTCCGAGGTATGGCAACCAGGCGCACGCAGACCCCACGCTGGATTCCCAGCAACTGGACAACCTGCAAAAGTAACACAGACGGTTAGTGTTACGCCAGTGTGACATGCTTAAGTCACGCCATGTGACTGCACAACAGTGGTCTTAGGTTAACACTCAGGTTGTGAGACCACAGGCTTGACACTTAATTGTCTCTTGCTACAGGAACAGCCATAGAGATTGGTAAATAGGCCCCAAGTGACAAAACAAATAGATTAAAATACTGGCATTTCGTGAATCTGGGGAAAGGGGCTGGTGTTCTTTCAAACTACCTTATGCAAATTTTGTGCCTGTTGTGGTGGAAGGCACCTTCCGTTCAACTGGAGGAAGAGAGGGAAACACGTCATTGGAATAACAACGGCTAACCAAGAAACAGATCAATCAGGGACGGACTTTGGGAAAGCTGGTTTCCTGTCTTGTTTTCCTGCAGTTCTTTTTTTAAAATTTATTATTTTTATTTTACGTGTATGAGCGTATTGCCTGCATGTATGTAAGTGCACCCATGACGTGTGATGCCCGCGGAGGTCAGAAGAGAGCATCGGAATTCACCTGGCCTGGAACTGGAATTAGGGATGGTTGTTAGCTGCATGTGGGTGCTGGGAATCAAACCCGCGTCCTCTGCAAGAGCAGTGTGCTCTTAACCGCTGAGCCATCTCTCCAGTCCCTTCTCTGCACTTCTTTAGAACTTTGTTTGGAAATAGTTATAGATAATACATCCAGTGTCTCCCAGGATGGCATCCTTTAAAATTATGTTTATTTATTTATGTCTCTGCGTGTGTGTACAAGTATGTGTCATAGCCAGCCTGTGGAGGTCAGAGGACAGTTTGGCACAAGTCAGCTCTCTCCTATCATGTGGGTCCTGGAGACTGATCTCAGTTCTTCAGGTTTGGCAGTAAGTGCCCTTACCCACTGAGCCATCTCACCAGACCCCATGCTGGCATGCTGTACAACTGAAGGAGCTGTGAAAAGCAGAAGATGGACGTCCCTCAACTACTGTTGACTGGATTTCATATCTTATTTTCACCACTTTAAAAACCTGGGAGCCTGGAGAGATGGCTCAGTGGTTAAGAGTGCTTGCTGCTCCTAGTCTAGAGGACCAGATTTTGGCCCACTGTGCATACTAGGCAGCTTACAACTGCCAGTAATTCCAGCTCCATGGGACCTGATGCCCTCCTCCAGTCTCCTTGGGTACTGCACACACACACACACACACACCACACACACACACACACACACACACACACCAAGACACACTCTTTTAAAAAGATTTATGTAATTTTTAATTCTCTCCTCTCTCTCTCTCTCTCTTTCTCCATACTATGGATGAATGTCCTCCCACAAAGGCCCACATATACAGGCTGCTTCCCAGGATGATACTTTGGGGAGGTGATTTGGGTCTTTAAGAGCTGGAGTCCAGGGGCTGGAGAGATGGATCTGTGGTTAAGAGCACTGACTGCTCTTGCAAAGGACTTGGGTTCGATTCCCAGCACCCACATTGTGGCTAACAACCATCCCTAACTCCAGTTCCAAGGGAATCTGATGCCCTTGGGCACTGTACAACATGGGTGCACTTATACATACATAGGCAATACACTCATACACACACACACACATACACACACACACACACACACACACACAAAGCTGGAGTTCAATGAGAAATCCCCAGGCCATATAGGAATTCTAGAACCCTGGTTCCCCTCCTCTCCTGACTCCAGTGTATGTATTGTCTACCAATGCTCCTGACATCAGCTGCCTTCATCTGTGGCTTAAACACATGAGGCCATCCCATCTTGGACTTGAACTCCTAGAACCATAAGCCCAAACAAACCTCTTTTACTCAAGTAGCCTGTGTCCCATATTTGATTGTAGTGATAGAAAACTAACTAATACACCAAGTTTTATCTCTGGAATAAATGCCCAGGTGTACAATCGCTGGGTCATATGGTAAACATGATGGTTCCTGCTGATGATCAGCCTATGCCATTGGTGAGGCACTCCTTTGGGTGTGTCTGCAAAGGTGTTTCCAGAGAGGATTAACTGAGGGGGGGGAATATCCTCCCTGAACGTGTGTAATAGCATTTCCTTAATAAAAACAGGAAAAAAGGAAAAAGTAAGCTGGGTGCCAGCTTCCCTCACTGCAGCTTCCTGCTCCTCCCACAATATCTTCGCCTTCGCCGTTGTGATAGGGTCTAACCTCAGACCATGAGCCAAAATAACCCTTTCTCACCTCAGATATTTGGTCACAGTGACTAGAAAAATAACTAATACAAGAAGTGTCAAACAACAGGCAAGCTATTTTTCTGCACCTGGGGTTATCGCTATGTTTTATTTAGCCATTAATAAATGTATAGTGATATTTTATCAGAGTTTTAATTTGCACTGACAAATGGCTGATGGTGTTGCCATTGGCCACCCACAGTTCTTCACTGATACCTATTCAAGCCTTTTGCCTGTGTTAGATTTGGATTTCCTCTTTTCACTGTTGGATTTTAATAGTTTCTTATATATTCTCTGTAAAAGCTGTTGTTGCATTTGTAGTTTGCAAATACTTGTTGCAATCTGTAGCTGAGTCTTTAATCTTTGTGTGTGTGAGGATGTATGTGTTGGATGGGCGTGTGCATGTGGGTGCACGTACACGCAGAGGTCAGAGGTCGATACTGGGTGCTTTCAATCAGTTGCCACCTTATAGTTTTGAGACAGAGTCTCTTCCTTAACCTGTGGCTCATAGATTCAGCTAAGCTGGCTGGTCTGAGCTCAAGGGATCTGCCTGCCCTGTCCTGACCAAGTGCTGGAGTTGCAGATGTGTGTGACCAGCCTTTACATGTAGGTACTGGGGATCCAAACTCGAGTCCCAACACGTGCATAAGAGGCCCTTTGGCAGCTGAGCTATTCATCTCCCCAGCCCCGCGGTCTTAGTCTGTTTTTTAAAAATATTTATTTATTTAATTTTATGTGTATGAGTGCATTGCCTGCATGTATGTGAGCGCACCCGTGTCATGCAATGCTGCGGAGGTCAGAAGAGGGTGTCAGATTCCCCCAGAACTGGAGTTAAGGACAGTTCGTAGCCACCATGTGGGTGCTGGGGATCAAACCCGGGTCCTCTGCAAGAGCAGTCAGTGCTCTTAACTGCTGAGCCATCTCTCCAGCCCGAGGTCTTAGTCTTCTAATTAGGCTCTTTCACAGCATAAGTTTTAAATGTTGGTGAGGTTCAGTTTATTAATTTTTATTTCACAGATTATATTTGTATTTTATACCCAGGAACTCTTTGCCCTAGCCCTAGTACAGAGAGTGATCTCCTATGTTATCTTTTTAATTTTTCCTACTTTCTTCTTAAACCCCGTGATCCAGTCAGGATTAATTTTGTGTGTGGTGTCAAGTTTTGGTTCAGGTGGCCTCTTTTCATTTTTAAAAATCAGAGCTAGGTAGCATTTCAAATTAGTGGGATTTGTGAATGAATTAATAAGTAGTGCTGCCATTTCAAAAATATAAAGTTCTATTCTTAAAATAGATCCTAGATGGCTCAAGGATGTAAACAGGCACATGGAAAAAATAATTTAACCACACTCACCATTAAAGTAATGCAAATCAAAACCACATTGAGATACCTCTTGCCTATCAGTTTGGCAAAGATTTTTTCAAGGTGCTGTCCATTGTTGGCAAAACTGTGAAGAATTGCTGTTCACAGCCGGTTAGACAGAGAGTAAGTTCATTTGTATATTTGGATAGCATCCCCACAGCATCTGCTAACATTAAACCTGGACATATCCCTCATCACAGCTATTTCATGCTTTTGCCCTGGAAACTCATGAATACAGAATGTTCTGACCTGGAAGCCTGTTTTCACTATGGTCAGAGACTGGTTCAAGTTACAAAATATGTTATAGAATCAGCTGCTCACGTGTAAAGGTAGCTACAAGCTACACATTTTCTATCTAGAGGTAGATAATGCATTTACTTATTTATTCGATAGGACAATTGTGCATGCTCAGTGAAGTGGAAACAGCCTGCGAGAGGGAAGGAGAGTATCACAGGGTTCATTTCTTTGAATTCATTTACAGTTCTTAAAAATTACAAACCTGGCGATGGAGAGGTGGCTCAGCGGTTAAGAGCACTGGCTGTTCTTGCAGAGGACCTGGGTTTGATTCTCCTTACCCACATAGTAGCTAACAAGTGTCCATAATTCCAGTTCCCTTGGCAGATTCAGTGCTCTCTTCTGACCTCTTCGGGCATTGCATTACGCGGGTGCACTTACATATATCCAAGCAGTACACTCATACATGTACAGTTTTAAAAAATTTTTTTAAATCACAAACCTAAAGCTGAGGATAGTGGTACGCACTTTTAATCCCAGCATTTGGGAAGCAAAGGCAAGTAAATCTCTATGAGTTCAAGGTCAGCCTGGTGTACATAGTGAGACCCTGTCTCAAAACAAAACAAAATGAAACAAAACAAAACAAAACAAAACAAACAAAAATCCCTAGGTGCTGGAGAGCCGGCTCA